CCAATCAGATTGACGATACTTAGAAATGGTATACATCAATGATTTTAAAAGCATTTAAAATTTGATCTTGTTTAAGAGAACATTTAAGGTATTATAATAGTGCTGTTTATAGCTGGCAGAAGTAGATACAGGGCCAAGTTTTTCTTTGCTTAGAAGGTTGGAAGTATTCCTATGGTCTTTGGACAAAGATAAATGCATTGAGGTGTCCCAGATGAATGGATGGTATTATTTTTAGTTCTGAAAGTTATGTATTCATGATTTTTGCCTAGTGGTCTTTTGTAAGCATAGGAATAAAAATGTTTGGATGTTTAGAATGAATCTTAAGTTTTCCATTCCTCTTTTCTTCAAAGGGAAAGGAAACTGTTAACCAGAGCAACAATGTTGAATATTCAACTATTTCTCATTTCCAACTTTCTTATCTGTACTTCTTAAAAATCAATTAAAATTACTGCCATTTAATCCAATAGATTTAGAAAGTTAACAAGGAATGGTATCTTCATCTTCTTGAGACCAATATAAGGGTACTTCAAGAAGTTTGTGGAAAAAACAAATTAAAAGATAAGTTTCTTGGGTTAGGCATCAGATCCAGGGGTTAAGATGCCTCTTGAAGACCTGCATCCCACCTCACGGTGCCTGGGTTCATGTCCCACTTCTGTTTCCAACTCCAACTTCCCGAGAATGTCTACTCTTGGAAGCAAGAGGTGATAGCTCAAAGTTGGGTCTCTGTCATCCACATGGGAGACCCAGAATGAGTTCCTGACTCCCAGTTTCAGCTTGGCCCAGTTCCAAATACTGTAGGCATGTGAGAAGTGGACCAGCATATAGATCCATCTCTGTTGATCTGTGTGTTTGTGTGTGTGTGTGTGTGTGTATATATGTGTATGTTTTTCTGTCTCTCAAGAAATGTTTATTTTGATGCAAAAAATTTGAAATTCATGCATATTTTTTCGTGAACATTTAGAAGATTCTACATATTCATCCAAGATTTTAATGTTTATATGAAAATTAAAGATTTCATGTACCTTAGTTGTTAAAATTTTATAAATTACAGAGTGCCCAAACAAATCACTAAAACACATAAAATGGTAGTAATAAAAATTCTTGAAAACATTATAGCAACTCATAAAAATATTCTTTCCAGATATGAGAAACGGCATTTGAACATCCTCTTTAGTTAATTCACCGATAACACATTGCCATGTAAAATCACAGAATTTTGAAAATTCCTCAGAAACCACCAGAGCTCAGCACAAAACTAAGTTGTGGCAAGACTGAGTTTACAAAATAAATATATTTGTAATGAGACATCAGCTGACTCTGGCCATTAAATTCCAGGATCCCATATCTGCACCTCTGCAACTTTAGACTTTTGGCCTTACTTTTCGAGCTGAGTGTCTACTGAGAATTGCTTGGCAACAATTGTTGAAGAATTAGAAAATTATTTAAGTATATTAAAAACATCTTACATGAGTGGATAGAGTATCCATCTGCTCACTAGTGTGTGAAGAGTGTTTATCACAGTCACTCGGTGGTGTTTAATGAAGAAATGAATGAGAGTGTTGACATACCATACATTATGGATTATCTTCTTCAAGAAACTAGAGGGCACTCCAGATCAGTGACGCAATAATAGATGTGGGGGTGGTTGTAGGGCAGAGAGCTGGGCTTCAATACAGGTTGTGCTATTGACTCACTCTATGAATTTGGGCAAGTCACTGTATTCTTCAGGGTTATGACTTTCCCTTTTAGAACCTGCAAGCATTGTGCTGAATGTACAGAGTGGTCTCTGTTTTTTTTATGGGCTTGTGTGTCTTTTTTTTTTTTTTTGTAAGTGCTTCTACATCTAGAAAAGTCCTACATGGCCTGATGCCTTGGAGCTGCCTCCACAATCAGTCTTGGAAAATCAACTTTCTCTCCTTGTCTCCTCCCTTAACAAAATATACTTCTTTTTGTTTGTTTTTAAAGATTTATTTATTTATTTGTAGGCAGAGATACAGAGAGGCAGAGGCAGAGGCAGAAGCAGAGAGAGAGAGAGAGAGGTCTTCCATCCGCTGGTAGACTCTCCAGATGGTTGCAATGGTTGGAGCTACACCTATCTGAAGCCAGGAACCAGGAGCTTCTTCTGTGTCTCTCATGCAGGTGCAGGGGCCAAAGGACTTGGGCCATCTTCTACTGCTTTCCCAGGCCATAGCAGAGAGCTATATCAGAAGTGGAGCAGCCAGGACTCAAACCAATACCCATATGAGATGCTGGCACTGCAGGCAGCAGCTTTACCCACTATGCCACAGCACTGGCCCCAAAATACACTTCTGATACATTTATCTTCAGTATTGTGAAATGAATTTTACTAGAAAATAACCTATAGTTTGTCTTACTAACATAATCAGTAACAAGTATAAAATAAAGATGTACATACAATTAAGCAGTATGTAGCTTAAACTCAGTTTTTGGTTAAAATATTTTGGTTCCAGTAACTTAATCCAGGTCTCTTATTAGCCAAGTTTCTTCTCACCCCTCTCCTCTCTCTTTCTTTCCCTTCTCCATTTTTTCCCTTTCCCTTTCTGGCACTGTCTATTTCTGACTATATGAAAAATTTTTATTAGCTGTCTCTTTTTTGAACCTCTGAAATACATGTTCCTATGAATCTTGAATGATGTTAAGAGATCCAGCATTTCCTCCTGGACAAGTCATGTCCCATAGAGTATTTTCAATGCCTCTTTGGATATATCCACATATTTGGGTACCCGGCTCTTGTGGGAAGGCTTTACCTCACTCCCCTAGTTCTAACCGTTCCATGTTTCTTTTCCCTCTTGCCTACTCATCTTCTTCTCTTGCTTCCCTTCTATTCCTGGATGGTTGAACTGTGGCTTGTCCCATGATCTTGACACCCAAGCTTAGTCTGAGCCTTTGTAAATAGTCATTTGAACATAGATGCTATGTATCTATGCATAAATCCTTATCATTTGGAAAGTCGAAGTGGCAGATGCTCTGAGAAATTGAGATATTGAGAGAGAGAGAAATTGAGAGAAAGAGAGTGTAAAGAGGAGCTCTTCCTTCACCCACACAGTTTCTAAGCTTTCTTCTTTTTGTTTTCTAGCTTTTTAAATTTCATTCCTTTTGCTTTGTGTTCTTAAAGAGAAAACTGGGTTCTAAAATCATAGCTTTCTTCAGGCACTAAAGGGTCTTTTCTGTACACCTGCCCTCTCTGAACTGCCACATTCAGAAAACTTAAGGTAGGCTAAAACAAATTAACAACATCTTGGCTCCATGCTCCACTCACAACTGTTAATTTTACAGGGTTATGCCTCCGTCACTGAGCAGAGTGCTCCTGGCAGGGACAGCTGCTCCCCTGCCCCAGATTGTGCTGTGCTTGTCCCAGTAGGTATCATCGAGAACAGCAGGACAGAGGACTGAGTGGTTAGCAGGGTGCTGGGCGGAGGCAGCAGGACAGCACTCTCCAAAATGCTTTGCACTGACTCCTTCCTTCTTTGTATTGATGCATGCATGGTTAACTGGGAAAGAAGAAAAACTTGCCATAAGTTTTGCTGAGAAAATTGTTAATCCTGCTTTTACTTTTGCTGATAGCTTATTTTTTAAAATACCTTTGCGTATTCACTAGCACGTTGATGGACTAAGCATTGACAGGCCTGTATACTTGTCCACAGAATGTCAGACAAGCCTACATCATGAGCAGGATCTGGGTCACTGGGGCAGAGCGAGTATGACAGGTGGAAAACATACTGTGTGTTGGCGGGCTGTGGTTTTCCTCTCAAAGTGGAATGAAGGCCAAGGTCAAGGCCAAGGCCAAGAATAAGCAGAGGAGTTGGTACCTGCAAAACACTCTTTTAGTAACTCTCCTTTGAAGTGACCTCATGGTTGTTCATGGCTACATTTCCCCTGTGCCTACAACAGTGTTTGTAACAATGAATAACAGCCATCAAGTGCTCCAAAGTATAAGGAGGGAAGGAATGGAGACTATCCATAGCCACACTGGGGCACCGTGGTGAGCAATAGAGCTATACAGAATGTCATGTAGTTGCCTATCCATTTTTTTCCATGACTGCCTTGAGTTCTTTTCCTCTGATTTAATTTCCATGTGGATAAAAGCCATTTGCAGCACATACTGCACTATAAATGTTGCCATCAACAGGCAAAATTTTATATTCTAGTCTCTTGTCTTCAGTAGTAAATCGGCTCTAAAGATGTTAATGTGAAACTCATTTGAGTTTTAAGTTGCTATGGGAATAAAAGATTGTGATTTGGTGAATATATGCCACTTTTTCAAATGTGGCAACAGTGTCGCATGTTTTATTTCAACTCAGGAATAGTGACCATATCCCTCAGTCCAATTTTGAAGGTTTAAGATGTCTTTACTGATACTTGTCCACATACCAGGGGAAGTGAGACATCATTTTGGGACCAGCATTCTGATTGTCACTTTCTGAAGAACTCCTCAACAGCTTTGCACTCATTTGCATTTTGCATGAAATTCCTATGAGATTTCTTCTCTAAACCTTTACCACATTCTTTGCTGTGAATCTCTTATTTTCCTGATCAGGCTTGAAATCTTGGGAAAGAACAGACTTTTGCATAATATTTTTAAACCAATTTTATACAGATGCCCTCTCATAGGCTCTAAAAACATAATATCTTTCAGAGCTCTTTGGTTAAAACTTGGGGGTGAATGTGCTTTGAAATGTCAAGGTACATCTGCAAAAAAAGCAGCTTTGGATGCTGGCAGTAGAGGGATATTGACCTGGGGAAAGGAAATACATGCAAAATAATGCCAGTGATTCTGGAAGTTCAAAAAGACATCAGCTTTCCCATAAAATCCTTTGGCGGACAGGGGAGGCTGGATCCGAACTTCCAGGAGTTTGCTGATTCCTGAACTCTAAGTGTGAGGCCTGCCATTAAGTCATTTAATACTTGTTGCAAGCTGTGATTCGAAGGACAAGAACATCCTTCGAACTCTCCTCTTTTTTCTTCTTTTCTCCCTGAAGGTTGAAAAAAATGATGAGGACCAAAAGATTGAACAAGATGGTATCAAACCCGAAGACAAAGCTCACAAGGCCGCCACCAAAATTCAGGCGAGCTTCCGCGGACACATAACAAGGAAAAAGCTCAAAGGCGAGAAGAAGGGTGACGCCCAGGCTGCCGAGGCCGATGAGAAGAAGGAAGAAGCCCCTGCCGCTGATGGGGTGGAGAAGAAGGAGGGAGAAGGCTCGGCTGCCACTGAAGCGGCTCCAGGCTCTGGCGCCAAGGCTGATGAGACGGGCAAAGCAGGAGAAACTCCTTCTGAGGAGAAGAAGGCAGAGGGAGCCGCTGATGCTGCCACCGAGCAGGCAGCCCCCCAGGCTCCTGCGCCCTCGGAGGAAAAGGCCGGCTCTGCTGAGACAGAAAGTGCCACTAAAGCTGCCCCTGATAACTCGCCGTCCTCCAAGGCTGAAGATGCCGCAGCCAAGGAGGAGCCTAAACAAGCCGACGTGCCTGCTGCTGTCACTGCTGCTGCTGCCACCACTCCTGCTGCAGAAGAGGCTGCCGCCCAGCCTCCCACGGAGACTGCCGAGAGCAGCCAAGCCGAAGAGAAGATAGGTGAGCCTCTGGGGTCCGATGTGCGGGGCGCTGGGCGGGGGTCTCTGCAGACGGGCGGGCCGCTGGGCCATCCAGGGACAGGTGCTGTCTGGGAGCAAGGGAAGCTGTAGTTCCTCCCCCAAAGTGGCAGAACCAAGGGCTCAGGTTACTTTCCCAGCACATCTCCAAGGCTGAAAGAGGACTCGGGCGGGGCTGTGCAACAGCCAATCCTGGAGAGTGAAGCTGGCAATTATCGTAATTGGATTGATTTAAACGGTCGAACTAGATAATCCTGGGTTAAAAAAAAAATTCTATATGCTGATAGACTTAGTTTAATAAGTAATTACTAGAGCTACGTATATTTTATGGGTGGGAATTAGCTAATGTGATTATTTGGCTCTAGGAAGTGTCTGGTATAAATACAGCCAACTCCTCAATTGATCCAGACTATCTACTGTGTGAATTGCCAGTAGCAAAAACATAATCTCTGACCACCTTTCCCCATCCCACAATATGTCCCTGGGCACTCTCCCCATCATCAATTGGTAAGTAGTATGTGTACGTGCAGAGAATACGAATTGTAACACTAATTGGGGTCAAACATAATGAGGAAAATAAGTCTGTTGATATTGCCAAAAACAAAAGAAAAACCCCAAATACAGAGCATATTGTGAAGTCAAACATAAATTATCATTCTATTATTGAAGACACTATTTTCCACCAAATGCATAAACAATTGAGGATTGACTATGATTATAAAAAATGTACTGAACTCTCTTTGATTTGAAACTGTAGCTTGAAAGTCATGTTTTCACTATTATTGCCCAAAGAGCTTGGGCAGACTTGGGAGGAAACTTCCTCAGGGCAATACAAATTTAACTGATCAATCTTTACCCTGGGAGACCGGACCCACCCCTCACCCCCATACGCCCACAGTGTGGGGGAGACCAAGGTTCTCCAAGGTCTTTTTCTAGTTTACTGTGACCCATGAGTGCCTTCCAACTCAAATATACTATATGGAAAGGTAAAGTTGCTTCTGTGCCAATTGAAGAGCCTGAGTTTACACTATTAGAACCCCCTGGATTTAACCCACGATGTGATCAAGGATCCAAGTACACCTTGGACCACACTGGCCTTTGGGAGAGGGCCTACTCCATGACAGTGATCTGGGAAATATTTGCCCTCTAACCATAGGAGTGAGGGTGAAGTCTTTGAACATTTGCTTTGATGAAACATTTCTCCAAATCTATTGCCACTGGAAGGCAGATAATTATTCCAGATATTTGCAGTGTACTTCTTTCATCTTCTCCCTAAAATTCTGTAAGAATTGTCTTTTATTAAACAATATAGCTATTACCATATTCTAACACTCTAGGTCCAGATAAATCACATGCTTCTTTCTACCACTGATTCAAATTAAATATTTATTCTAACTACATATCTTCCTCTGGGCCCAAACCCAAAGGTTAAGAAGATGGAAATTTTTCCCCTGAAAAGGTAAGACATTGCATAAGGAATAGATTGTTAATTTTAATTTACTAAATAAAACAAAGCTTGTTAACCAATTTCTTTAATTTAAGGTTCAAGCCTCAGAAATGATGTTTGCAAATCACTTTGCCTGTTTGATAGATTGTGTCATCTCATAAATTTTGGAAATTAATCATACATTTAAATACAGAAAATATTTGATATTGCTGAGACCATAATTTTTAATTTTGTAAAAGTTTGTCATTGATGCATAATTATACATATTTATGAGGTACAGTATGATATTTTAATACATGCATACAATATATAATGATCAGGGTAATTGGTATGTCCATCACCTCAAACATTTATCATATCTTTGTGCTGGCAACATTTAAAATCCTCTCTACAAGCCATTTTAAAATATGCAACTAACCATAGTCAACCATAGTCCATCCTACTATGTTATAGGACATTGGAAACTATTGCTCCCTATCCAATTATACCCCAAATCCATTAATCATCCTCTTTTTGCCCTCTTGCACCGTCTACCCTTACTCATCTCTGGTAACCACTATTCTCTCTCTACTTCCATGAGATTTACTTTTTAACTTCCACATATCAATTAGAATATGTGGTATTTGTCTTTCTAGGACAGATTTATTTCATATAACGTGATGTTCTCCAGTTCCATCCATATTGCCATGGATAAGACAATATATATTTTTTTCAAATTGGGATTTCTGAAATTTTGAGTGTAGAGACAAAGACATGATATGATTTCAGATACACTTAGTTTAGATTATTAGAAATAAGAGCTTCTTGAATCAATGAAAAGTCTAATATAGAATGTAATTTTAAAGAAATTCCATTTTATTGTATTTCAAACAATGATAATTCTAAATAATTTAAACTATTAATGAGATATTTTATTTATAAGTTCTCAATAAATGTCAAATGTTGAATGAATGAAAATTGGCTAAATTTAACTTGTAGATAATAATTTGTTCACTTAATCATGTATTCCTCCAGCAACATTTCTAACACTATTCATTTACTTGATTAAAAATGTGTCTGCAGTAAAAACAGAGATCATGTTTTGTCCTAAATTTTACAAATTCCAACTAAAAATGTTTCAGATAATGAGACTGTATTATAAACATTGAACATGTAGATGAAGTTCAACTTGAAAGTAATCAAAAAGTGCACTTTATTTTATACTATTTCTTGGCTTTATATAGGTATCTCCTCTCTGTTAGATTCTGCAATGCTGCCTGTAGTTTCTAGACCGAATTATCTATTAGCCTTGCCTGCTATCTGTGACAACACAAATTACTCTGCCTTGGTGAACCTCATAGAATCATAGAAACTAGATGTGACAAGGAGATCTATCACATCATATAAGGTCTAAATTCCCAAGGGCCTTGTACTGCATTTCGTCTGTCTCCCATTGGATTTTGTTTTAACCTGAGTTAAAGACACAGTGTTTTCAGCTGGGCTGTACCTTTGGAAATGATGACTTCGATGGGTTGCTTTCAGAGTCTGTAGCTGGCTGGAAGGGCAGAGAAAGCCCATCAAAGAGGGTGCAATGCTGTGGAGAGTGAAATAAGCTAAAATAATCTAAAAAAATATTTTTTGTCTGTAAGGGAGTCAAAAATTTTGCATGAAATCTAATCATTGCTTAAATATATATGGAAGTGCTTTGTAAATTTAAAATATGTTATTTTTTTCACTTCATTTACTCTATGAATTTGTTACAAGTAGGTGCCATTTGCATTGGTACCTATGAAATTAGTTAGTTTTTTTTAACTCTTTAAATCCAAATCCTCCAACTGTCTCTTCCTCTCTGCTTCACCATTCTGCCTGCCCACTTAGCAAAGGGCCTTTCACCAAAAGACTTCAGTACATTTCTGAAGAGGATTTTTTTTTCACAGAAAGAGAAGTGTTTAAACATCTATAGGACCCTGTCCACTAGGTCTATGAGGAGAGAACTTTCAATTCTCTTTAGTGATAACGTCCTTGGTGTCTCCTGGGAGGTGTTAATGTGCTCAGTGGCCCTTGATGAAGGAGTTCTCTGTTCTGTTTTCTCTGCTCCTTGGCAGCACATTGACTTTCCCCAGTAGAGGACTCGAGCATTTCTACTGTGACCATATTCTATAGCATGGTATTACCAAGGTAACCTATCCAAGTGCTATCAGTGATGTGGACCAGGTGGCTGCCACAGGGTCCTGAATGATGTTGACAGGAAGTGTAGTTCCAGGTCACCCTAGATATCTGTATGTTGATCATGGCTACATTTTATTTCCATGATCTCATTATATCTTTCAAATTAGGATAATTTAATTTGAAATAATCTGGGGAAAAGGAAATTTGCCATTCTGTTTTAATCAAAAAATTAATTCCGTGTCTCCCTACCTCTCTCCCTCATTCCTTTTCTTCTTCTTTTCCCTCCTTCCTATTCTTTTGTCCATTTCATCCTTCCATTTTTCTCTCAATTTTACTTCTATTTACATTAACTTTCTGCAGTACTAAGTATTAGAGTCACAAAGGCAAGTAATATATAGTTTTTAACTTTAGGGAGTTCTTATCTGATAGAAGTGAGAAGAAATTCAGAAAATGATATTGAGAATCACATTAATAATCTCAATTCAATTGTGCAAATAAATGTGTAATGTTAAAGTATGCCAATGTGCTCTAAAACAAAACATGAATGAGCCAATGCTGTAGTGGCCAAGATATACTTTGTTGCTTCCTATAAAACAGTTTTATATCTGGTCTATAAAACCAAATTATTAGCAAAAAAATGTAAAAATAATGTAATTCTCTGGAATGATTATTAAATGTATGAGAGTATAGTAACTAGCCCATACTTCTGGATTTGGAGAAACTCTGGGTATCAGGGCAATAGTTCCCTATGGACCAATGTAATTGTCCACTTTTCAGCTCCCCCAAAACTAAATCCACTTCCACCAAGCAGAATATTAGATACGAATTTTCCCAAGAATATTTACACTTGTTTGGCAGGGTGCCTCATAAGTGCTTTTGATTTGAAATGTGGTTTCAGCCACTTTCTAAGTTTATACACAACTCATAAAGAGTGAGAATTTGGATTGTGACAGTCCATAAATGCTGTTTATAAAACATGAGCTCTCTGTCAGAGACTCAGGGGTATGCTGCTTAAATACTGTTGATTATAAAGCTTTCATGGAGAAATTTTATATTGCTAGAGTAATCATTTTTATTGGCTCTTTTCTGACAACAACCTAGAGGCATTTGATAATATTTTTCTTTCTATTTTACAAGCTACGAATAGAAGCAAATTCAGACCCAGTCAATGACAAAATGGGCCAAATTGATAGATCTCTAAACCCTAACCTTAATGTTATTGCTGCAGTTTGCTTTTTATTTAAGATTTATTTATCTGAAAGCAAGAGCGACAGAGAGAAAGGAAGATACTGGGAGAGAGGGAGAGATTTTTCCATCTGCTGGTTCACTCTCCAAATGCTTGCAACATCCAGCTCTGGGCCAGGCTGAAGCCAGGAACCAGAGCTCCA